TCCATCAAAATCATAATTTGATTACTTAGGTAATCTCATGCTCAACTCACGAGTTATAGACAATATAGTCAGCCATCCTCACCTTAAATAAGTCCAGCAAGGTTGCCTATTGAAGCCCCGTCGTTAAACCTTCGATCGGGAATGATCTGAATCCACCTTGGCTGGCAGAGGACAAAAGCCGCCCGGCTTTTGCAAAAGCTGCCCGGCTTTCGGGTTCTGCTGCACGAAAACAGCACCTAGAAGTGGCGGTTTCCGGCGATTTCGATTCCTATCGATTCCACAACTCTTCTAAGTTAATTACCAACACTTTATATCATATTTCTACACTTTTAAATGTGTAAAACATCCCCTATAATCCATCATATAATTTCTATAAAATCATATACGGAAAATATATTAAACGGAAGAATAAGAACCGGAGTTACGAGATTCTTACCGCTAGGCTTCGTTTTCTATCGGATTTCCTTCACCTTTGGACTCCCTTACTCCCTGATTGTTGAAGGCACTTGGTTGAGCTCTCTTCCCCCCCTATGTGTCGTAAGACACTTCTAAGGAATGAGAGGATGAGACCCTCCCTTATCCCTTCTATAATTAGAAGGTTGGGCCGGTTTTATTTGGGTTCGGTTCACGGGCTGTTCCTTTTAATTAATCCGGTCCGAAACTATTTACAAATTAATCCTCCCGTTGATTATGGTCTACACTTTATACGGAATACCCCGAATTAAAGTGTAGGAAACCCTTCAACCTTATACGTGCTATTTTCGGCAATATGGGCTAGAACGCCACTTTGGTTACTTGATATATCTCGGTTCGGCCCAAATGACTTTTACTCATTTATTTCTATTATTAGCAAGTGGGCTCGAATGATCTCTCATATTATTTATTTATCTTTTATTCGGTCCGAACAATTATATATTACATACTTCCTTATCCTTGGACTTTTTATTTAACTTATCTTGGTCCAAGAATATATATTAGTGAGTCCCTCCCCATGTTTGAGGTCCGACTTACAATTTAATTAATCGGTATTAATTTAGTCAATTAATCATTTCTAGTATGATCAATATACTTGTAACTAGTTTTTCAAGTGAATATACATTTATGACTTTAACTAATTTTCCTCGTTGAAATTAGTATCTGTACTTTCACTCAAATTTTAATATCAATGGATTAATAAATCCAAGTTTCAATTGGGAGCGGTGTTACATTTTCTGTCTTTACTGCATGGTCCACAATAGGAAGCCCCACATGGGCTATTTCCTTGCCAGGCACCTCCACCGTCAGGCCACGAACCATATTAAGGCTATATATGCAGGCCCGTTCATCACACGCCTACTGACCGGGATGGGTTTTGGAGACCGGTTCGAGAGGATGGAGGAGAGTTCGAGCTTCCTCCCAATGACCAGACTTCCTGCGGTCAACACTGGAGTGGCGAGGAGGAGGGCACAGGCGCAGCCAGCAGCAGCAGGGGGAGGACACCGGGCAGATGATGATGATGATGAGCATGACGATGAGGAGAGCGATGAGGAGATGGAGGAAGCTGCACACGACGTTTCTTTTGATGCACCCCCCTACGGCAGCACTTTTCCCGATTCTTGGGCAGGGATGCATGCGCATCAGGACGCCGTGTATCATCAGCTGTCTACTGAGCAGCACACGCGTTTTGACCAGATGCGCTTTGAGCAGCAGGACTTTTATCGCGAGATGCGGGAGGATCAGGCGATGCATTATGCACAGCTCCAGTCCCAGTACACACAGATTGATGAGCGACTCACTTCTCTGGAGTCTAGCTGGAGCTCATTCTTTGACGCATATCCCCCTCTCCTGAGTATTAGATCTGATTAGATTGTCCTCCGTTAGCCTCTGTTTTCTGATTATTGTTGGATGACTGTACCCCTATATTCACTCTCACACTCACTCACTATTAACTCTTTTCTCTTTCTCTTTTTTGCTTGGATTCTGTGTTTTGATTGATGTTTGCAGCCTAAGAGTCCGTTGGAAGAATTGCCAAGTTCTATGACACAGTTGATTCTACACCGACCAGCGTCATAGGGAAGTTTCTTCGACTCTTTTACTCGTGATAATGACTTGAGTTAAGTTGAGCACGCGTGACCCTTTCCTCATTACCCCCTTGTGCATAATGCATTTTTGGTCATCGAGGGTGATGCAAAAGTTTAAGTGTGGGAGAGTGAATTGGGCATTCGGGCAGTAGTAGTTACATGTGATTATTAGAGTTAGCATGCGCAGGTGTTAGTGGTATATTCATAGGAAATTCATGTCAAAATTTTTGAAATTTTTTCTTTAAACTGTGTCTTTATAAACTGGCTAGCGTCTGACTATGCTTTTAGAATGTCCTTGAAGTATCTAGGCTTAAATTGCTTGCATGATAACTTAGTTTTTGAAAGGATGAAGGCATTAGTCACCCATAGAATAAATCAACAATTTTCCCATTTACCTGAAAAAATCCTTTAGGAGAAGCCACTTTGAGCCTGACCGTTTATTGTTACCCGATTAATTGAGCTCCATAGCCAAATGGCCTGTGTTTCCTTACCCGTGAATATTTCTGACTTAGTCTTGTTGTTTAGGGAATTAAAGGATGAATTTGCTAAGTTTAGGGAATTTTTGTAGGAGCCATTTTTGGCACTGTTCCTATGCCCCAAATGGGGTAAGAACAGTTATCTTTTAGGAATTCGATACTTTCGAGGATTGCATTGTAGGCATGGATTCACTTTGAATTAATGAACTTTAATTGCTATTTTTCCTTGGTGAGGTCGAGATTAGAATGGGGTAATGTCTAGTGAGAATCCGAAAGGTGAAAAATTAATATAGCTAGACCTCTTACTTTGCGAAAAAAGGGGATGGGAGCCCCGGTCAAAAAGCGTAAGATGAGACTTGGGTATCTTTCGAAAGAAACGGCGTTCTCGTGCCAACATGACAAGGAAAACTAAACTTAAATTAATGAACTTGGAGGCTATTATAAAAACTTAGCTTTAGTCCTCCGCGTACTTCAAGTATACGTCAAAGCACAAATATGCCGCGACGGTTTAGCTTAGTTGTACACCATGTCTACTCTTTGCATAGGTTTAAATGATTGTTCCTAATTTGTGGCCTACTAAGTTCCTTGTTCCTAAGAATAGCCCTGAAGTTCCTGAATACATTGAGTCTTTGTTAGAATATTCAAATCTCTTAAAAGAAAGGGACTATTATTTTTATCCATGATCCATTCACCATCACCTTCACAAGTCCCTCTGATCAGTAGCTAGTTTATTTGTGTATGCTGCCATTATTTTAAGGATGTTGTGAATACCTTGTCAAACAGTTTAGCTTGAGTACAAAGATGTAGTTTAGGGAAGAATTTTCTTGGTTTAGTCTGCCTATTCTGTGAATATCCCTTTAACTACGTGTGCATGCTAACTGTTTTAAATTCCGTGTGGTGATTATCGTAAGTCCCGTTGTTCGATTTGCTTGAGGATAAGCAAAAGCTTAAGTGTGGGGGAATCTGATAAGTCCGTATTTAAACACGCATTTGATGCGTGCTGGAGTTGGATTTTGACGGTTTTCCTAGCTTTAAGGTGTTGCAAGTCTCGATTTTAGCTCAAGTTGTGATTATCAGGCATTGGATCGAGTTTTGTTGCAATTGGAGTTGAATTGAAGAAGTTAGAGTCCGGAAATCGGCGCTTGAGAGGCATTCGGGAAGGATTTGAAGGCATTCGAAGAAGATTTGAGAGATATGGAGGTCACCGGGAGATTCACGATGAAATTCTGATGAAGAAAGAACATTTGGATCGACCTCGTAGGCATCCGGGAGCATTTGGAGCAAGAAACAAAGAAAAATGATGAAGAAAAGGCCAAGCACGATCGTGCCTGGGCCTAGGCACGACCGTGCCTGGAAAAGAGAAGCACGGTACCTTTCTGCCAGCCAGGCACGATCATGCCTGCAACCGCGACGCGCGCATGCTCCGCAGGCACAATCCCAGGCACGATCGTGCCTGGCGTCGTGCCTGGCCCCGTTTTGTCCTATTTCAGCTCAAATTCTCATGTTTTATATAAATAAGGCCTCCATACCCCTTTTTTGAGGGTTACGAACTTTGTGGAGAGGCCTAGGACGAATTTTACCTGCGTTTTTACGTTGTTTACTTCGAGAACCTGGGATTCTTTGTAAGTTCAATTCTTTTAATTAATGACAATTTACTCAATTCATCCCAATTCTGTTGATTCGTCAATTATGAGGCGTGAGTAGTTTAATTAGGGATTTGGGGTTGATGAAGGGGTTAATCATGATTGAAGGCTAGATTCTTTTCGGTTTAATTGGATGAATGTCGTTTAATTTGTGTTTGAATAATTTAACTGATATCTTTTGTAACCTAGAATCGCGACTAGAATTACAATTGCATGTAGAATGAATTAAGAGAGATCTAATTTGTTCTAGGACACATTCACACACACTTAATCGTTCGTTAAGAGATTAGCAGCGATTAAGGGGCCGTAAGCTCGCTCGTCTTGGCAACAATTTAGGATCCTGTCGCATGAGAGATCAGCCTGGTCCCCTAAATTATTGTACTCTACGCCGCGAGAGCGGTAAGAACTTAGTAATGATTAGCTAGGCTCAATTAAATCAATTTCATGTAATTAGGTCTGTTCTGCCAGAAATCTGGTTAACCCCGGAATCAATTCCTGTTCCCTTCGTCGTTAATTAAGGAAAAACCCAATCGCTTTATTTGCTCATTAGCATTAGTTTTATTTTATTCAATCAACCAATCTCGCACAATTGCATTTTATTTTATTTATTTCTTTTTAATCGCTGATTTTAGTTAATCTTTAATTCCCTTTTGTCCGTCTCTGTGGAGACGATACTCGTACTTTCAACCACTTTTCTACAAGCATTTTAAGTGCGAGAAAACACTCATCATGCATCCAAATTGGCCAAGTCAATGTCAACACCACGGTCCATGCCAGTGAATTCAATCAAGCGCAAATTGTCGTTTGTGAAGAGCGTAACAGGGATGCAGCTGCTGACATCATGGAGCGTGGCATTGCAGATAAAGCTGCAACAGCTAAAGCCAGTTAGCATAGAAAGGAAACAACGAAGACGTAGTTAGGTTATAAGGTTCATACTGTTTAACAGTGGTTTTCTTGCTTTTGGCCACAGAACAAGCATTCAAATTCTACACTGTCTTCTGCATACATTCTACGGTTACAATAATCACAACCCACATAGAAACTATCTCCAGAGGTATCAGTCAAGCTAAATTTTCCATATACCCACACCACAGGAACCTGTCTTGGAAAGAGGCATGAAAGAGAAGCAAGCAAAGTATTACAACCAAACAGATCCACCTCAGGCAAGAGAACCACAATGTTAAATGGATGTAACTGACCTTATTAAGCCCAGCTTCCACACCTGAAAGTGAAATGCGTGGTTGTGAGACAGGATGGGCGATGTCAGCAAGCGCATCTCATACTGTTTGTCAACCAGAAGATTATCTATCTTTGCTATATTAGCAGCAACCCTATCGAATGAGTAAAGAGCTGGTCATCCGTACGGGGAGCTGAAAAGCTGTGCAGGTATTGAGAGAAAATGAAGTTACCATGTATAAGTAGCAACACACGCTTGCCGGCTGAATCAAGTTCCATATGGCTATCGTATCGCGTCGACAATGAAAGGCCTGAGAGGCAGGAGTATACGTCAGTAAAACAGTTGGCAGTCAAAGAGATTTAAAATACACAGGTAATATCCAACCTTGAAAGAGGTTGACACCAACCATGTTAATGAGCACGAGGGGGCGATCCCCTTCATTCAACCGCCTTTCGATCTCAGCACCGTGGCGAGTCACAAATTCTTCCCACATAGTGAGTGGTACAAGTGTGCAGCTGGAGAATAAGTAAGAAAACAACACGTTCCTTATTGCGCACAGTCAAGAAAAGGGATGCAGATAAAAAAATCAACACATACTCTTCATCGACAAGGACCACGTCCCAGGCAAGTTTCTGACCATCGTCCGTGACTATGAAGGTACGGGGCAACTTCGAGACAATTGCAGCAAGAAAATCTGCAAATACCAGTCAACGACTACACGTAATTGCAGCAAGAAAATCTGCAAATATGCAAATATACCAATCACTGTAAGGGTAAGGGTTCCGTACTGATGTTTTCATTATTCAAGTAGCATGTGAAAAACTCCCAGAATGGTCTGGTTCCTGCCTCTGCAAGTTGGCGGAAATTCACCCCTTCCTCTGGTTGAACATCTTGGATCAAGGTCCTCCGTGTGAAAGACCAAACGAACTTGTAGGTTTCATCAACACAGTAGCGAAGATCCGTCAGCGGCTTGACATAAGCATTAGAGATGAGATACGTTGAGTACAATAACAGTCGCTGATCAATCCCCGCAATGTCGCCCTGGAAAGTGGTATGCATGTGTTTATTAAAACTCTGTGGACAAGGCAGGAACAGTATAAGGTTCAGAATCAAGTGAGGTGCAACTTACCGCTGAGTCCATGAGAACAATCGGCATAAACTTCACAGGGGAGTTTTTCCCTGTGCGGATGTTCTGTTTCTCAATGACGGTAATGTGGCAGGTCCATCTATGCGTCTCTGGTTTGACGTCTACAATTGTCAGTTCAGCCACCATACTGTAAGTCATCTGCAAGTGTCAGGGAGAGTGGTTCATGTCAGTATATCAAGTAAATGAAGGGCAGCTAGGGAAAAAAAAGTATAAACGCACAAGTTGTTAACAAATGACCTCTAATTAATGAAATGCAATATCTCGTCATAGACAACATTGGAGGTACTATTACTGATTGACAGTTTCTGGTCATTCGGACAGATCACAATTTTAATGGATTGTGCGTTTATAGCCCTTGACATAGCGACGTAGAGCTAACCTTGAGAAAAGACAGGTTCTTTCAAATAGATTCCAACAAAGTCAAGCGTCTGACCCTGGGATTTATTTATTGTCACGGCGAAGCAATTTTTTATGGGGAATTGTGTGCGCTTAAAGGGCATAACACATTTTTCATCTTTCGATACTTCCAAGGGAATCTTAGGGATGAACACATGTTTTCCCTTGTGATCGCCCGAGTCAATGAAACAACTTAAGACATTCTCTCCAAACGAATCACATATTAGCCGCGTTGCGTTGCACAAACCATCGGTTGGGTTCAGATTACGCAGTAACATCACAGGGCAATTATGTTTCAAAGTCAGTTTGTGTGGGGGCAAGCCAGTTGGGGACAATGTGTGAAGGTAATCTTCACAATGCATGTATTTTGGATCAACTACAATATCATAGCTAAGATATGTGTGTTCTTCTCCAGGGAATTTGCGCATCAAAGATGAGTTGATGAAGTCAACAATATCATTTTTTGTGGTGAGCACAGAACGACCCATCAAGGCATAAGGGTCAGTTTGAAATAACTGTAAGTCAGGATACACCGCTGAAAAGAGCAATTCCAGCGAAGCGGCTTAATTGATTCAGGGCATCATGAAGTTGGAAGGGATCCTGATCCTGTCAGGTGTGATGTTTGGTTCAGTTCCATTACCCACACGCATTAAGTATGTACAGAAGGCAGGATCCTCATGCGCGCGCATATTCTTCGTCAAGCGCAAACAACGAACATGAGGCCAGATGGAGTTTGATTTCACCAGGCATGCATCCACAAAGTCTTTCTTTGTCCCAGAGCGGATAACTGGCAAGGTTTGTCAAAAGTCACCACCAAAGACCATAACCTTCCCACCGAATAGAGAATCAACACCGAGGATGTCTCTTAGCGTTGTATCAAGGCTCTCAACAATCATGCGGTTCGCCATGGATGCTTCATCCCATAAAATCAGGCGAGCTTCTCTAAGAAGTTTAGCCGCTGCTGGCTGTTTACCAATATTGCATGTGTATTTTAACTCACCGTCGATTGGTAGCTTAAAGCGCGAATGCGCAGTACGTCCCCTAGGTAAAATGGATGCAACAATGCCAAAACTCGCAGTCGCAAGTGCAATCCACTTATTTACCCGGGTGGTGGCTAGCAGACACCTATATAAAAATCTTTTTCCTGTACTGCCAGGACCGTCAATGAAGAACACAGTGCCCTGCCAAGAATGTATGGCCTCCATTATGGTGTCAAATGCTAGCGTTGTTGAGTGTTTAAGAAAGAGATGCCATTTAAGTCCGATTCGTTAACCCGTATACTACGTTCAACAACCAATTCACAGCTACTTCCTTCATCCAAAGCCGCATTCAAGTCATTATCAACCAGTTTAAAGGAACTTATGTCCTTCCCCATCGCCGCAAACATGTCACGCAGTAGGAACAATATGGTTGTCTCCGCCTCAGAGCAGCTTTGAAACCTCACCAGGTCCTCACACACATGAGTTTTGTAGTCATTCCACAGCGCACGAGGGTCTGGAACTGTTAAAAAACAAAGGTGTGTAGCAAACAGTTTGTGCAGGCTGGACGGAAGCTGATACAGAACAGCCTCATCCAGCGATGCACGTATAACAAAGTCACCTGACAGAAGCCCACGATGTTCAGCTGCAGCCCTGAACATGGCAGCCATGTGCCCCTCTATAGTTTTTAGATCCGCGAAAGATTTGGGTGCACGTACATTCGCAAGAAGAAGGCGAAGGTAGTAGCGTTCCCCTTCAAAAGGATTAACAGAAACAAGTCTGCCTAGAACTTTCTTCCTTTGTTGCTGAGTCCATGCCTTTTTATGGGATGTCCACACAAAATAATGAGGGAATTCAACATATGAAAGGTTTAATGTTCGGGCAGTTGGGTTGGTCGAATTCATAAAGAAAAAATGAGTTAGCATAGTTTTAGTAGAATCTGCAAAATCGGTGACGTAAGTAATCCGCTAGTGTCCATAAAAAGTAAGGTATTGTGAATTTTCCAAGTGCACTTGTAACTGTAAGACGATGGCGGGTTTCATCTCAGCAATGTGAAACCCAAAAATACGCCACGCAGCTTCAGGCGGAGAGACCCAGCGAGCTTTTTGGAAATCCGATATCTCATCGATGACCTTGCCATCCCCTACCCCTGACAGTGCCATGCTCACCCTATCATGCCCTTTATATACATATTTATATATGTATTTAACAGATTTAACACTTGCACAACCTTCCACATCGTTCGGGGTTAAATATGTATTTAACCCCTGCCGATCCCCTATTTCCTTGATGTCACCCCCTCACATGGTTTCCCCACATCCGCCATAGCATCCATAAAGAACGCGAAACAGACTTGTTTATCCTTGGGCAATCTACTAACTGCCGAGAACTGTTGTGGAATTGGCCCCTCATTTACGAGATCTTCACCCACGTCCACACCCTCAATTTTGTCATTAGCCAACGAGAGCTTGGCATACATGTCCTCCATGGAGTCCATCATGATGAAAATCAGCAAATTTCGATGTCAAAAAGACATGTAAACACCAATAAGAAAGCCGCACAACAACAAACCCTAAAAGCTCTAGGGTAGAGTTTGCTTTGAGAGTTGGAGGTGGAGATTGCGATGTGCTAGCAGTTTTGGTGTTAAGGTTAGTGGTCTTGACAGTCAATCGTCGGAGTTGACGGGATGACCGGTTAAAGCGATGATGACTTTACGGTGGAGAGTGAAAGGATGACCGGCGAGTTTAGCCCACAAACATGCCAATAATGACTCGTTGTCGGTTTGCCCCTATTTGAACTTGAAGATGGAGCTCACATGGATGAGTTCAATGGATAATGAAAAAAATTAAGAGCCTGTTCGGTAAAATAAGGAAATCGATTGAATAAGTCGATTCTACTGAAATTTATGAAATTCTAGTTGAAATGTTTGGATTAACCGATTCCACTTGTTGTTTTTTAAACAAAATTGGCTTATATTAAAATATCATAATACCCACATGTAACATAAAGACCAGATAAAATAGACAATCTATTAAGACTAGAAATCAAGCTTGGTCATACACCCTTGAAGCATTCTTATAATCAATAACCTCAATAGAAGCAATGTGATTCGATAATCCCTATACGTACAATTGTAATCCAACCATGATCGACCTATAATCCTTTTCGCTTATCATGACCTGAAACTGACTCTCAATAAAAATAAAGACCATGACAGAGTCACCCTAGGCAAAAAACACCTAGCCAAAACAGCAAATAATCATCAAACAAAAAATAAACAAAAATAACTGAGAAAGTAAAATAACTCCTATGAAAAGTACTAGGACAGCCTAGTAACCTAGGCTCGCCTCCTCCATGCTTTAAGCGATCACGATAAAGGTCCCTCGTCTGAAGCGCATAAGTGAAGAGGGTGATCCCCGTGCATTTCGTGAGGTGCTCTACCTTCAAAGTTTCTCCCTTCAATGCATCAAGAACTTGGAGAGAGATTACTCGAACCTCTATCGGACGCCGGAGAGGTCGCTGAAATGCCTCTTTGGTGTTGTGCTTGAGGCGAATTGGGCTAAGAATTGCTTAGGCAGTTCATCGAAGCTATCAATGGTTCCAGGCCGCAGCTGGCCAAAACCATTCTTGTGCTGGACCCCACATGATGCTGAAGAATAATATGCAGATTGAATCATCAAATGCACCTGATAGCATGAGCCCACATGGGCCACATCGGTAGCTGGGCAGGTGGGACCTTAGGTCCCCAAGAGGTTAAGCCAGGAGACATTGACCTGCAGGTTCCTCTCAATGAGGTGGAATTCTGGGTACATGTACGTAATGTACCTTATTATTTTATGAACATTGGGGTGGCTAGAAGAATTGGTAATTTTATTGACAAATTTATCAGTTTTGATGAAAGTCAGTTTGAGCAAAAATGGGAATCCTATATGAGAATTAGGGTTTGAATGGAAGTGGGGAAGTTATTAAATTAAAAGTAGGCACGACGCTCATGAAAGGACATGGATTAGGGCATTGGGTGGACTTTAAATATGAAAAACTCCCTAGTTTTTGTTTTGCATGTGATGTCATTGGTCATGCTGACAGATACTGCCCTCTGATTTATGAATGTGAAAACAATGTTTTGGCTAAACCCTATGTGGTAGGACTTCGAGCGGGAGGGGAAGGCAAGTCTCGCACAATGTGGGGCAATAAATGGTTGGTACCAGGAGGCTCTTCAAGAGGGCGCAGGGGTTTGGCTCAGAATCGAAGGACATTATTCAGGGTAGAGAGAATGACGGGGTTAAAAAATCTCTCTTATCTGTACAAAATTTACCTTATTAATCTCGGG